AGTCTCATAGACATTCACCGACGTTTCAAAGGTGCTTGCTGCCTCCACCAGACTACACGGCATAATAACCCAGAAGACAGCCATCTTCATACGCCACAGTGAGAATCTGATTTCTTACGATTACTCAAAATGTACGTGAACTGATTTACAGAGCCAGCGAAAGTAAGCCGAAAATGCCGATGGACCTTTACTACCTAGCCCCCAGCCCTCCTTGTCGGATGGTATTGTTGCTGGCCAAAAGAATAGGCATTGAGTTCAATCTCAAGACAGTTAACATCATCGCTGGCGAACAATTCAAGCCAGAATTCATCAAGGTAAGAAGCTGAACTAATTTAAGACTAGACAATCATGACACGAAACTTCACTTCTCCACCATACAATGGAAATGTATATACAAGTAAGACAATTAAGAATCCCCATATTCTGCCCCAGATATTTTTTTCTGCTTACTGCAAATTAGGACAGAAAGTGGATTTAGACGGTGTGTGATATTATCAAATCTTCCTTGCGTTCAATTTCTTTCCCATTGCCAAATAAGAAAAAGCACGAATTCTTTACTCAGCCAAATAGAATAGATGGCATGGGAATGACACATTTTAAAGCTTAAATAAATAGAGATATCAAATAGATATTAGAATTCCATAAATGGAATTTTTTTAGATTTAGATGTTCTGACATAATGAAGAGGTAAAACTGAGTAAATCTAAGTTAAAAATCGTTTCACCTTTCCCAATAATTTTTATTGATACCTAATCGCAATGTTGTATAAAAGAATTAAAATGGTTACTTAATTTTTCTTAATTAAATACTATAGTATACTATACTAATGTAGTGGAATCTGATTTATATCGAGGTTAAAATAACTGAGCTACGTTGTATAGAAGCGCATGCATATGGATGATCAGCAAACAACTTACCTATTATACACAGAAAAATGTTTAAACATGCGATCTGAATATTTTATGTTATCTACTGATTAATCTGTTTATCGTGACCTGGTTTTCGAGAGTGCAACACAGTATCCTATACACAGCCTTGACCTGGTATCTATACATATTACATGTTGAAATGTCTCTTAACCTGTTTATTATAAATAGAAAATCTTCGTAATGAAGACGTTTTAATTTATAACTTTACTACAAATGTATTTGTATTTCCTCTTAGTAACATAAATCAGTAACATTATAACACAATGCGAGTCAGCTGTGTAGTAGAGTATTTGACTCGTATGCAAATGGTTATGGGAGTGAATTCAGATGGAGCCAGAAACTTCTGATTGTTTCATGCAGCAGCAATTTTCTTGTTTAACGCTGTACAAAGAATTACTCTGTCAAAGTTGTGCATTTCTGGAAGATCTATTACCATACATCATTGTATGACCACATATTAAGTGACACTAGCGTCGTTTCCAAACCATTAGTTCATTCGACTTCTATGTTCGTATTATCGTGTACAGTAAATTAAGAAGTACGAGTTTAGAGCAGCCGCTAATAACATAACGTCTGTACCAAATTTAATCAAAATCCTTCCAACATTTCTCGAATTGAATCCTATGGACAGACGGACATAGAGTGTGACAGTTATGGTCAGCCCGAAATGCGTCGATTTCATGTACATCGTGCAAAGAACGCAAAATAAGGAGGAACGATGTTCAGATTTTCAGGTCAGAAACCTGAATACGTCGGAAGCTTTGTAGATGTAAAAGATCACGTGACGGGACGGTCAATCATTCATTATTAAAACACACACATCAATCAATAAATGCTCTTCTGCGCATTGTATATTATTAAAGGGTCAATTCAAATACCTGTTTTTCCAATTTATTTTAACAAACTTTAATTAAAAAATATATGGCTTTTGCGAGCCAGTACGATCTTTCATTTATCAATACTGAGTACCTGAACACGAAGTAACTTTTAGGAGATATTTTCGATTATTTCGAAGAAGAAGTTTCATTGGAAGCAGTAAGAGAAAACGTTGATATTTATTTGGTTTGTTTAAAATTTAAACTATGTATTGAAAGCTGCCTAGTGACTTGACTGAAGACTGTCATAAAATAGGACAAATATGTATTACAGTGTACCATAATTTTAAGTTCATTTTTAAATATTTAGTTGGAAAAAATATAGAGGTGTTTTATTAAAGGTTCCTCTAATTTCCTTCCCTCAATTTCACGAGTTTTATTAAAATGTATCTTTTTTAAATAGAGTTGCAGGGTGTGGATTCGATTCATCTTACTCAGGACAGTGGATGATGGTAGACTGTTGTAAATACCTTTGAATTAAAGAAAAAGATACCGGAATTTCTTGACAGCTTAGCTTCTCAACAAGGACACTGCTCCACGTAGTTGATTAGTTCGTCATTCAGTTAGTGTTTTAGTAGTTTTACGAAATTTTAGTCAGAATTCTTGTTCTTCAAAAAGGTGACATTACACAGACTTATAATCTATAGAATTAATTTTGTATATTTTCTTTGCTGAATATTTAATAAAATAAATATGCAGACTATCTGTATGTCAGTATTCTGTACCAGATTTCATGACAATCGAAGAACGTTTTCATGCGTTAAAGATGTGACAGATATAGGTAAGCGTAAATGAGTTCTTAATTCACACTTTCGCAGGAAGCGTGATTAATAACTAAAGCTAACTGCTTACGATGGACAGGGACTCACACTAAAATGTGATGCAGTCTCCTGAGACTGAAGGGATAATGACATGACTCTTTTCTCCTGTTTCAGTTAAATCCCGAACACACGATCCCAACTCTAGATGACGATGGGTTCATCCTGTGGGAAAGGTAATTAATAATTACACCTCATACTGAGACTTAGCTAATATGCGAAAAGTTTCAATGCACATGCCAACTTTCTGAAAATAATGTGATTATATTCCATGTCTCCAGGCGAATTCCGGGACAATACATTATCTCCACGTCTCTTAATAAAATATTTTACATCAAAAGTTATTCAGCAAAGAGATATTTAAGCTGCGGTCTATTGGCTTGTGACAGTGTAGTCTTGTAGCCTCAGATCGTACCACCTGCAAAACTACAAACCGTTACAATCCATAAGACAGACCACAGTACGAATTCAAACAGCCTCAAATCTCAAACAGAGATCTCTCCACATACCACTGGGTATGTGTGCATGGCTCGACATTTCAGTCGTTTATACACAACATGGAATTTTAATACACTTGGTCTCAAATGCGTAGTTCCAATGCACATATCACAAATGGATACATAAACACGTACATTTACACACACATGTAACATATCCGTGTTACAAATCTACCGACAGGGACCGAGTATTACGTCAGACCTACTCCCATGCAACTATAGTGCTACTAACTCTCACTGAATTTCACAAATTTGGATTAATTAAAAAAATTGTGGAAAGGGTTTGCGAAACTGAAGTTCGTATATAATTGGAATTCGTGCTTTTCAGATACAGGTAACATGAAATCTAATACGTTGTCTGGTTAGTAATAAATTATCGTCTCACAAAGATTATCACGAGTAACCACTCTGTCGAGCATTTGTACAGTTTGTACATGTACGTTACAAGTTCTGGTTGAAACTATTGATTAATCGGAATCATAATAAGTTGTCAAGACAAATCGTTTCCAACACAAAATACTGTCAAGCAATAGGCTACCCTACCCGGAAGACAGCAAATCCGTTGTCAGGGAGGTTTACAACTCACATCTTTCATAGAAAATGGCTGTCTTCCGGGTTGTAGCGCAGTGTGGTCCGGTAGAAGTTTACCGACCTTTCAGAGGTCGCTGATAAACTTCTACCAGACTACACGGGGCTTCAACCCAGAAGACAGCCATCTTCGTACTCAGCACCGTGTAAACCTCACATCCCTACACATAGTTCACGACTCACGATTGTTAATTGAAGCGTTTCGTCGGATATGCACTGTCGAATTTCTCTTTCTAAGGACGAATGGACAGGTAGGCTACTACGTAGAGAGACAGCCAGTATGTTAATGATATACAGGTGAGCAAAATTTTGGATATAAAACTGTGTTTATCCTAATCTGGCTGCAACCTTCTACACAGGATCTTACTTGAACAGTCTATTCTTACTTCTAAGTTACGGGATTCCAGTATTATAGAACAAGCAGCTCAGCTCATTTCACATTAGCAAATACCTTTCCTCGCAGTCGCGCCATTATGGGCTACCTGGTGAACCAGTACGGAAATGACGATTCGCTGTACCCTACGGCTCCCAAGAAGCGCGCTGTGGTGGATCAGAGGCTCTACTTCGACGCTGGTACCCTTCAATCGAGGAATATAAGTTACATGGTACGTGTCGCTTGTACATTGTTTACGCCTGCTCTGGGCTAACTTTATTAACAGTTCCACTGCTACATGTTTTCGTGTTCTTTCCTTTTTTCCTGTATATGGCTACGCAATGTAGTGACAACAGATGAGCTGACAACGTTGTTCTTCTGTGATGTGACGCCGTGGTACGTAGATACCAACGATCTCCTAGTCTACATGGCGTCACAACCCAGACGAATAACATCGGCATTCTCACCGCCGTGACAATCTCACATCTCAAAAACATTAATTAAATGATTTGAGCAAACAAGGACGCCTCCTAAAATTTTATTTTCACTTGTGTCGAGCCAGATGCAGCATTTCTTTTCCGTGTGGTTTGGAAACTATACACCGTGTACACAAGACATGTTCTGCTGTAATTTGCCCCTATATGCGAATGTCTGATTTTATACATATAACCCACATGCATAAGAATCTCCATGCACTCTGTTCGTGTTCGATATTAAGCAAATCGCTTGTAGTCGAATGGCCTTACTTAGAAAGTGCGACTCCCGAGTAGCAAATCACAGAATCAATGAGTCACAAATCTAAGTGCGGTTTGGATAGAGTTAATTATTAATTTTAAAAGTTTCTGACGAAGATTACACACACACTGTATACAATTACTCTGTTGTACTTTATCAATCGTCCAAATACTTTTAATCACACCGTTTCGCAAGTTGGTTCTATCTCCGTCATCAGATGGCAGGTGACAATTACACAAATGTAATCTAAGTGCAATTGTCATAAACAAGCAATAGTACTGTTAACAACAAACCGATCTTAATATAATCGGCATATTAAGTAATTACATTTACACGTTAGTAGCTTGACAATGAAATCAATTAATGTATACGAAGTAAGGCTAACACAAAATTAATTATTACACTGTGTAAATACAATTGAAAAAATCTGATCTCATTATTCCCGATAAGACCCTATGTACGTTCAGAAGTAGCAGAGTGACCCAGTTGTGACACGAAAAGGTGGTAAAATGTGTGTTAACTATCGAACACAATTCCCAATCCCAGATGATGGAGATAAGAGTGTTCTCCGAAACGTTGGATTTTTACTCCACTCTACACGGCTGACCGCCCGCGTCATTGTAATTCAACAACCGTGGTAACTCAAAATCTTATATACACTCAGTTTTAATTTCCAAAATCCATCGTAGTAAAATTATTACACACGTTTTGGAAATAATTTCATAGACTACATCCCTTCCTTGCACTTTACAGGCACCAGTTATTTTCGCCGGTCAACAACCTGAGCCAGAGAAACTAGAAAAAATTAACGAAGCTCTCGGGTACATGAATCTGTTCCTAGAGGGTCAAAACTGGGTAGCAGGAGACAGCATGACAATTGCAGACATTTGCCTTGTCGTGTCTGTGTCAAACTCAGAGGTAAGCAGTTTTGCTTTGTCGTTAAGGTCTCAGAAGTCCACTATCGAATCAACGAGCGACCGTGTCAGCCCTGCTAACACTTTGAAAAAGAATTCTCGTGTCTAACTTCCGTGTTAATTGGTATTTAATGCACTGGAACACAGCAGAACCCAGCCGGACTTTATTAGCGCTCTTACGAAATTTAATGAAAGTGTAATAACATATATTACTCGTTTATTTAATAGGTGTTTGGAGCAGACATCACCGCATTTCCTAATGTTGTTACCTGGTATGACAAGATGAAGACTACACTGGTGGACTACGACGAAATCAATCAAACCGGAGCCAATATTCTGGGCGAAATGGTTCGCAGTAAACTGTCTTGAACACGTTTACTTTACCAGTTAATTTCAGAGTTTCATGTAGAAGATTTATGCACTTCCGATTTTGGACACTAGGCACAGTAAAAATACTAATACTTTTTTGGTATTAATAATATACAACATTATTCTGTACATTTGACTGTACTCGTAAATTTGTTTTACACAGAAAGCAAAGTTACAGCAAAAAGGAACAAAATAAAAATACGTGTGAGTAAATAATTCTGTAAATACCCTTATTTCATTGCACGTAGTTCAGATACAATTTTATAAACTGTTTTCTTTATATCACTGTTACTTAAACTATTTATACTCAGACCTGGAACTTACAAATTAATTTTTATTTAAATATATAACTTATAGCTATAATAAATTTAATTATATTTAAACAAAAATACTCTACTAAATTTGTAATATATGGCTTGTGAAGATAATATAGTTAAATCAACCCTCTATAAAATCCCAGATGATTATTCCTACGGTTATAAAAAGCAAGTGCACTGATGAAAAAGTTTTCTCATCAGTCGTCATTCATGGGCCGAAGACCAAGAAGAAGAGGGTAAGACTGCAACCGTCGCCCGCTACTGATCGAATCCGAAATCCGGTCGCCTGATCGCCTGTTAAAAAAGAAATCCCTGTGTCTGTTTGGAATAGAAACTTGATGACGGAATGAAGTTGACACATGTTCCATGCCTCCTGCTTCCTCCTAGCAGTTATCTGAATCGGTTCGATTTTGAAGCGCATCATTCCCCAGTGATGGTAGCCTAAAGTAGGCACGTCTCCGAGAGTTCATTGTCTGAGCCAATCAAAAATCGTATTTTAGGTTTCGAATGTTCAAAACTGAAACTATAGAAGATATATCTTCAGACCATCGCGTCAAATCTCAAAGTATACTCGTATTTAGTTATGAGTTATTTCCACAAGAATCTGAACTAAAATTTCTAAATCTTTCTAATGTCTAACATGCGTATTCAAAGTAGAATCAAAGGATGAGAGAAGATGTCCTGTCAGATGCGAAATTTACAAGTCTCACTGATGCATTACAGATTACAAGAGATCTGGTTCAGGTATCATGGATGACATTTTATAGGACGCCTTGGGCGAAGTATCTGTCCATCGAAACGCAATACAGGTTCGAATAATGAACAGAAAATGAAAAAGTTTAAATGCAGACAAGCATCAGTCATAACTGTCGGCAAATTACTTGGCCTGTCAGCGATCATTACGCGCGGAAAGAAATGGTGACATTGGGACGACATGACCGCGTCTAGTAACATGAGCTTCCAGTTCTGTCCATTTCCTAGAATTATGACGTCATCCACAGGCCTCGTTGTTTGTCGGTATAAATACCACATTACGTAACGTTATCCGTCAAGGGCATCGCAAGAAGGAGCTGATTTAACACATCCCGATAGACCAACCAACCAGTCTCAAGTGTTGCTTAATTCATCCCAACCAAAGTTGCTATATCATTGTCACATGACCTGGCAGTATTTTGTTGAACACTATACGCTGCAAGAGCAATGGTAGTGTAAGAGAAATCCTACTACGGAGGACCGCAGGTTGTTGTTCTGTTTAGGTGAGTACAATATTTACTTTCGTGTTGTAATGTTAACGACAGTGGCCAACAATTTTAAAATCCATTGCAAGAATTGTTAGGTGTTAGGGAGCAATTTAAAATTGTCCGTGAAACGGTTACTGGATTGTGGACTTGTAAAACATCTCAGAAACCAATTTTTGGGTTCTTCAGCAATTTTCTCCCCCCCCCCCCCCCCCCCGAACCTTGTTAGTGAGTTACGTGTGTCGTGTTGTAGAACTACCTGACACTCGTGAAACGTGATATGAATTCCGCTGGAAGACAATCCGTTTCGTCGCCAAGTGAAACTATTATTGTTAAGTATACATGCGTGGTTTTCTTGAGATTTTCCAATGTTAGAACACCATTCAGTGAAATTTCGTGATCTACATTAAGTTTGTATTGAACCGTTCAGGACGGGGGTTCTCAACCTTTTTAAGACCTAGGTATCTGAATGTTTTGTGTACCTACACGTACAATAGGACCCGTAAAGAAAGTAATTTTTTTGAGTATTTGCAACGGTCAACGAAGCTCGGATATATTTTGCGCCCACTTCTCATATTTGTAACTTACGCTTTCCCAGGGAACAGGAATGAGAAACAAGACGAGCACAACTATGAAGTCTTTGAAAAGACAAATGGCACATTTTGAACTAAATGAAAAAAAAACTATATATGTACTCACACATACTGTTCCTGTTATTAACGTTTTCGTTTGCCATTGCGTGTTGCTTGAGAATGCAGACTGTCTGAGCTGGCTAGCGGTAAAGTTTCGTAAGCTACCCAGTTCGAGTCCTTGCGAAAGCACCGGTAAATTGGCTGAGGTTTCGTGATGTTTCTTATTCCATTCAGATTAATGAGGAGACAACAGGCCCGCATGAAGCCAAGACAGTTTCCTCCGCAATATTTTCAACGCCACTGCACGTAATTATCTTCCCATTCCATTCGACAGTACAGCATCTGTATTTGATACAGCGTCATTAAATAACCTACAAGCCAACCCAACCGGCCTTGGAGGAAAATAATATTCTGGTGAGAATTTTCGGTTGCATATTGGCTTCTACACCTCGTGTAACACGGCCGTCTTTCTTGCAATGCAAAATACATTCCATAATCCGAATTGTTGGTACCTGTAATAAAGAAATCGACAGTGGCGAATCCGTCATGAGACCACTGTGAAATCTAACTTCAGACACCATTTATGTTTCTCATTACCATATTTTTAATTTGTGTTTATAAATGTGTGTAACTCTTGTTTGTTTGTTTTTTTTATTTCAAGCTGAGAAGATACAAATAAAATGACAATCGATCTTTACTACCTGCCCGCTAGCTCTCCCTGTCGTTCAGTGTTGCTAACGGCCAACGCAGTGGGTGTGCAGTTGAATTTGAAGTTCTTGGATCTGTTCAAAGGGGAGCACTTGACGCCAGAGTTTCTTAAGGTGCGTAACCTCACAAGCGTTACAATCGTCTACATTCTACAAGAAGAGAGTTGCTTTGGTATTAACACAGATCGAGTTGCGTCTGCGATGACATATTTTAATTCTCCTTTGTACATTCCTGAAGCCCTCTCTCACAGTTGCACCTTCTTCTTCCTTGTGATTCCTGGGATGGCACATTACAAATAAGTGTGGTGAGTTATATCCTGCGGTAAGATATGTAAAATTATAGACGCAAAACTATTTTTCTGACACGCGTTCTAAATGATTTTACACATAGCGAAAAAATCTTAACTTCGAATAAACCACACACAACTTCAGAATATTCTTCATGCGTCTGAATAACCACAACGCTTTAGGCCTACTGATGTGAGAAGCGTTGAGTTCGTGTCTGAAACGTTTTTGGACTACATCGTTTCTGGTACTTGGGATGAAGAATTAAAGACTTTCCTTGCTGTCCTGATTTCTCTCAAAGTAACCCTGATATTCGAATTGTCATTTAGTGTAACTACTCTTTCCGTCTGCAAGGTGCATTCATTTAACCGCATCTCGACAGAACTATTGGTTGAAGTAACACGACGTAATTCATTAAACTTGGTTAATATGATAAACTACTGTTGTTTTGACTGAACCCTCTGTTTCAGCTGAACCTCCAGCACACTGTACCAACCCTGAACGACAACGGATTCCTTCTAAGTGAAAGGCAAGTAAGGAAATACTTATTTGTATCTGAGTGTCTGTTCCAAAACAATATTGAATATGACGAGGTCCTCATGGCAATGAAAGTGTGGGTTGTGAACAAAGTTTCGATTCTTATTCAGTCTGTCCGTCGCGTCTGTCGGTGGCCTTACGCACTACAATTTTACCATTGACTCCAGAACGGCAAATCGAATTTGTAACAAATTTAGTTTGGAGATAATGTCGCAACAGGCAAATCCAAACTCTTGTTTCTCCGTTTCCTACATACGGTAATGCCACCGTGACAGATGCTCAAATTCGTGGGGTGGGATGACTTTCTGAAGATGAATGTGATAAACGATGGCAATCAACCACTTACAAGAAAGATTGCACAGCGTCACAACCCAGAACAAAATCCACAAATAATACTGAAACTTTCCTAAATGGAGTCTCAGAGTTGAAAACTTTTAAACCTTATGATTTGGCAATAGTTATTTAAAATGCAATTAGCTCTTGTGTGGGCATGTGTTCCAGATTGCTTGCATTTAAAAGAGTATACTTTGCTTGTAATACATGATTTGTTATATATATAAACAATATATAAAATGGCTGCAAACAAACGAAAAACTTGTGCATTAGAAAAGAAATTAATTTAAAATAAATTTTTAAATGTGCACATTCTGAAGCTTAGTTTGAGATTTTCTCTCTTTGAAGCATGAAGAACTGAACACATTTAAGTACAATCTAAAGCAAAGAAATTCTCTTATCAGCCGCATCCTTTCACTTATTATGTCTGTCCTTAAAATTCTTACTTGTTATTAGAAATCACATACAACATAAACATGGTTCCTTTTTACCTATTTTGAATTTTCAGATTCATTGTTTATGTCCGTACCAGAAATTTCTTTCGCGCATATTACAGCTTTTTTACGTAATAATGGCATCCACTATAACTACCAGGTACTTTACATAATCTTCAGTTTTAATGCTTGCTTGTGAGGTAAGCATATAAGATTCATATTGAACGGTAATTTCATCTGTTTCTTTGAATATAATAATGAATTAATGTTCACTCTCTACAGTCGTGCCATCATGTGCTACCTCGTGGAACAATATGCCAAAGACGACTCTCTGTATCCTAAAGATCCAAAGAAGCGTTCCCTGGTTAACCAAAAGCTCTACTTTGATTCCTCAACTCTGAACCAGAGATCCCTGGACTATTATGTAAGTAAAATGAAAATATTATTAAAAATAAACGACTCCACATATGCCATACATGATCCAAATCTGACATTCTTTGTAACTTCCACATTCGAAGTGATTAGTTTTTTAGCCATTCGGCTCAATCAGATTGAATTTCAGTCCAAAAAAACTTTTGAGATGTGCAGCTCGTAATTCAAATCACAGTATGTTTCATTATGATTACACTATGTTATTGGATTGTGAAATCAAACATATTTTCTCATAAAGGCTCAGATGTCTTCCATTGTGATAACCATTGGATCACTGAATTCGGTTAAATTAAAAGTTAGAAAATTATTACTATATTTTAAATGTTCAAATTTCTTGAGAAAGATTGGTTGTAAAAAACTCTCGGTTTACGAACGAGCTCCGTTCGAAAACGTTCGTTATACGTTTTTGTTCGTTATGTGTATCTTGCATTCCTGAGATTTTACGATACGTATCGTATACCTTAGCCATTTTAAAACATAAAAACCAAGTACTAAACATCGAATGGTCTATACAATACGTTTTATTATAATGTATGTATGCTTTATGGTTTATCGTATACGATACGTAACGTAAAATAAAATAAAAGAATAATAAAACAAGACATCGTACTTATTAATTTTAATTATTATAATTATCGTAATAAATACATTTTTTAAAAGTTTATTTATTTAAATCTTACAATTATGTTCACTAAACGTTTGGCATTTCGTTTTATAAGGAACTCTATCTACTGGCGACTTTAAGAAATTTTGAATGAATTGTGACGTTCGTTATAGCGAATGTTCGTAAATCGAACGTTCGTAAACCGAGAGTTGCCTGTACTTTAGAAACATTTTTAGCTTAAGCAACACTGACTTCAAGTCAGATTCTTCTCAGAACTGCCCATCATTTGTTGTTAAAGCAGACAGACAGTACACAAACATTTTATTCGAAGACCAAAATAATTAACAGCAGGCATAAATATAATGTGTGGGTATCTTCTGCCATGACAACAGTGCCACGAATAAAATATGAGACTCTTTTTCTCTTATCTGTATAGGCACCGATCATGTTTGGAGGAGCCAAGCCAGATCCAGAAAAGTATTCAAAACTTGAAGAGGCTTATGAGTTTTTCAACAAGTACCTGGAAGGCCAAGCATGGGCAGCTGGTGATCATCTCACCATTGCAGATTTCGCACTCGTAGCCACTGTCTCAAGCTCTGAAGTAAGCACAACAAACTCCTGTTCTTGTGGACTCACTGGCAATTGGCAGAATTACGAGTAAAGCAGTGTTCTCTGTCTTGTGACTACGTGAGATACCGGGTTCTCACAGCGGCACGAAGATGACTTCCGAGATGCTGCGCCATGTAGTCTCCTGGAAACTGACCAGCTGACTCCATCTTCAGGGTTATGACTCATTATCAAAACCTAAAATCCCATTCTGTTTTTCTTCTGCCTCTCGCTCAGTATTGGCCAAACCTCTGGAGTGCCTGATTTTAAGATGGAATAATCTTGGAAAAAGTGCACATTATACGTAGTAACGACAGACTTATGTGTTTATTTGTTCCAGATTCTTGGATTTGATGTTACAAAGTATCCAAATGTCTCCAAGTGGCTCGCAAAGGCAAAGAAGACAATTCCTAAATATGAAGAACTGAACCACGCAGGATGTTTGGAATATAAGAAATTGTATGACTCAAGAACTAAAGGGAAGTGAAGACTCTCAAATCTTGTTTGCTGTTGTGACTTGTGACTTCAGGCTATAGCCACAGATACAAGAGTCACGCTTACCGCGAACATATGCTACTGTAAACATACCTACAAATTTTGTAGAAATATCTTACTGCAGGTTTAAAATTTTAATGTGAGCCTCTGAGGTTCAACAACTTGAGGCAGTAAAAATCCATACTGACGGAAGTCATGTAAAGTAATTGCTCAGTTGAACTTTATTTGTACAATTATCACCTGAAATTCATTGTAACCATGTATACAGACAGAAGAATTTATAGGTAGACTTCTAAGATATTCCCAGAATCCAATTTCCTATCCATAAGCGCCAATGTGAGTGTACAGATTGAACCAACGTACAAGTTTTTCTAAAGAAGGAAATTACTTTATCAGCATTAAGCGTCTTATGATTTGCAGTGAACTAATTTTTGCACACATCTGACTGTAAAAGCGAGATAATGTGACAAAAAAATTGTATATCAACAGCAAAGATAAGAAAATTTCACTACACTGGTCGTTAATGTACGTATTAAATAACGAAGTGTCCAAAACAAAAACTTCAACGCCGGACAGTACTGTGAAAGGCGAGGAAAACATTTTACAAAGAAATTAACACAGCACAGCTTATTACTTGGGAAAATATTAAACCAGTTTAACATAACCAACGGAGGAGCCTTAACTACTGAGTTTACCCAAAAATAAAGGACTGTAAAACCAAAATAAAAGCGTTATTTACATCAAAATAGAAGGAATCGCACTGTCATTAAGAACACGAAGTGGGAATAACAGTGTCAAGATAAGGCATCCAATTTGTAGTAGTTGACATTGAAACCCACGATGAAAAGAAGTTAATAATAATAACAGCTTTTGTACATTTTAAAGTTTTTAGATGACGAATGAAGTAAATGTGATCAATCGACCAAAAATAATGCGATACGAAATATAACTTTTCACTATTACTTATATTTAAATAAGCCGAATAAAGTTTAACACGTAATGTTTAATGTATGTACTTAATGACATGATAAATGTAAGAAAACCCGAAGCAATATAGGTATAATCGTGTCTGATGTCCTCTCGATTAGAGTCAACATCTGTTGAAATCCCCCTGATAAACACGAATTGTATAAGTGCGTTAGACTAGAACTCAGTGGTTGTAGGTTAGTAACCAACATAACAGAAATGGGCAGAGGGCTTGTCGGTCTAAAACGTGAGACTAGCCGAACAATTTTTCTCGTAACACGGCGGTGAAACGGAGACAAAAAAATCAGATTAGTTGTTTCGTCTTAACATTTAAGACAAAACATCAACCGAAAATGCAGACTACTAGACTACACATGCACCACATGGATTCCAATAGCATTTTAAAAAAAGTATAAAATGTTTTACTTGGCTACTAGACACGCATTTGTGCTGCAAATGTAGAGGAGAGGTCTTGCGACGAGGAAACAAAGGGACTGGGCAAACAAGTAGGTGGACAGAACTCTTATGGAGTTAAGACTTCCATTAAAATGTAAATATTAAGAATAACAATATTCATATTCGGTCCCAGCGAAGTACGCACAAACAAGACATCGCTTTTGTTGGAATGCGACATAATTATCGCAACACTGTAACAGTCTAGCATTATATATACAGTACATCTATTTATATAACTGACAACTACCGGTTGGTTGGTGATAATTTTTTAAATCATTATTATTCTGCAGTCAGTGCAACAATGTAAGAGTATTTCTGCAGCTTAAGATTTATTCACTGACTCTTACTTATTTATTAATCATCTTATTAACAAAACGATGTGTGAAATGCATTCTAATATGGCTATATTCCTCGGTGTTTGCCAGAATACACGTACGCGTAGTTAATCAGTCTTTTTCCTTCTCTAATGATTCAATTGTTTGCCGGAAACTAATTACTGACATAAAAGTATTGAATGCAATGTATAGTCTGTGATACATGATAAACTGTGTGTGTTGGTTGGTTTACCAACCAACCAACACACACAGGTTATAATTTTTTTAAAGTCTCCACTTGAACCATATTAAATCATATCAGGTGGTTTAATAAGGACGAGGACGAAGATGGTTCTCGAAATGTAGGTGTCTTTTCCATTAAACCACCTGACCCGGCTGGTAGCCCGTGAAGAATTAATTATACTTAGTCGCCGTGAAAGCTTCAGATCATTCGTGTCATTATATTGTTTAATGAAGCAAAGATAAGTAATGATTTTAATGCTTATATGCCGATTTGTTAGACTTTTCGATAAAAATGTGTTTTAAGTACTATTTTAGGTTTTTACGGCTATTTTATGGTGCAGAGAGTGGGCATTATCCAAGTACAGTATGAGAAGAATCCGAAATTTGGAAATTTTGCATTTATCTTTGAGGTACTCAAAGCCACTCTCTTCAATGAAGGGCGCACAATGGAGAAAACAATGAAGGATGGAAGGGTAATTTTAAAATGAATCTCGGAAAATATTTGATAAAATCTGTTAAAGCCAAGACGATGAACTTGTGTATTTCAGTCATGGTAATTCCTAGAAGGACTCTCTTAATTGCAGAATATCTGGCCGTGAAATTCATCAAATATCATTATATCCGAGTTTTGTCAAATATTTCACATTTTCGACAAGGAAATGACATTCTGATTTACATGAAAATCGCTTATTTCAAACGTTATCGCTTTGACAGGCGCACACAAATATATGATAGCATAAAATCCCCACCATAAAGAAGTTTGAAAAGTAGGTTAATAATATAAGCGATCCGCAAGGAAGCATTGCTCAATGAGGGAACAAAAAAAACACTTTTTTATTATTCTTGTACAAAATGTATTAAATTATTCTTGAGTATTAAGTTACAGAAATATACATCAAATATTTTATTTACAAATCAACAACACCCTAATATTGTCAATATACACAAACTAAGGAAAATAAATGCATTTATGAATAGCATGGAGCTACATCGGACTAGCTAATGCATTGGATTAGACGGCGTTTCTCAAATCCAGCCAGCCGGGCGGGTCTCCACAGTTCTGGATTTCGTTTAAAACGACCAACATAAGTCACAACACAATAAGGATCGTTTCAAATAGAAACTTTTCATTTTACCAGTGAGCAACTCGCTGATTACAATCCATTACACTATTACCTTTATTATAAACGCATTGGTCGAGTAGCGAAGTAATGTTTCTTTTTCTCTTTTTCCCCTTCTGTGTGCTGAGAATACTGATTCTTGCGTATGGCTCTAAATTTAATTTGCATTACTTTTTTGCAGAATTTCGTCGGAATAAACTTTTTATGAGTTTAAGAAAGGAATGCTGAAGTGCTGGAAAACTCATATGATAATAGGGTTGTATATAGTCTGTAGCAAGTTTTGTCACAATCTATTCAGTGAAAAACGATTTTTTTTTTTTAATATATATAGGCAACAGAGAAGGATGTGAATCCCCTCGTGCTACACAACTGTTGCGTACGATCCCTAAAGGCGCATACATTTAGATCAAGAAAACGAAGAACCAGGTTGCAGCCCCCGTAGCTCCGTTGGACGGCTGAGTACGCACAATTATATTTACTCACATACTTCCCTTCAGTTTCCCTGATTCTTAAAATAAGACATTACTGAGATCTGTTAACATTTTTTGTATTGGACGGAGCACATGTACTGTCTCACCCGGCAACGTTGCATTCCGCAGCCAAATATTCTCGCCAGTTTTAAATTTTTGTGAGTTTGTCACTGCATGAAGATAATTCTTATTTTGTCATACCGGTCTAGAACAAATTTTTAATTTTCTGACTATTGAACATTAGGATTCATTTTCTAATGTCTAAACTCGATGCTTAAAGCATAATTACCCAGTCCTCAAAAATACTTAGGGGAAGTTTATGTGAGTAATAAAAGTGAACTGTGCATACATTTGAGAAACACAGTCCATTCTTTGGCTGATATACATTAATACTGTCACAGACCCAGTGGTTCATAAACATAACACTTCAACTTAATATCTGATCACTGCTCGCTCAACATTGCACTACCAGGCGCTTTCTTCACACGGATCTTTGGAAATAGCAACAAATGTCTACAAAACTACAAAACATATACTAAATACTACTCAGAAGCGAGCACAGTGTCAATTCGGTCCCAGTACCTCGAAGGATGTCTGCCGAAAAAGCCTCCTGTAACAAAAGAACATTTGTTAATGGCATTTACAGCGTGTTATAACATGTTTTAATAATTAATTCCACGATGGATCCACTACTGAAGTTTTAAATTCCTTTTATAACACTTCTGTTATCAGTGCATTAATAAGGTTTATATTTATATAGTAACAGAGTAAGAGCATTTAAATTATCATATAGTAACGAAGCACAATTATTAGTGGTACACATGCTGCCCTAAAACAACACTAAAGTGGGTAACATACCATCCCAGAATTTTAAAATATACTGAGTTCACCCCGAAGACGCTACTAATATTAAATCAAAACAATGAATAACAAATCTGCTACCAGCATAGTTACAACCTGTCTCTTGATAATGAGAGCAGAATCAACTTTGGATTCCTCTTGTAAATCAAATATATTTCATAAACGGAAAATGTCCAACATAATACCATCATGATGACTCAACCACTGTCAATAACCCTTGAGGAATTAGCCCTATGCAGCCACAGAGTTAGAGTTAAGTCAAAGACAGATCTGTTCCAACCATTATATAAGCAGATGAAAGGCAAAGTTATTAATTTGTGTGGTCATTTAGACGTCTGCACGTTCTATGTATGAGTCACGTAATGAAAAGAATGTCCAATATAAACGACACCAACATAAATACCCACTAAAATAGGGCAGCATTTTTTCACTGGTAAAAAATTCACTTTCTTACTAATTTTATAACTCGGTTAAAATTTGCAGGTGACGATAAAAAGTGAATGGCTCCTTTTCACTTTTTCCAAGCCAAAGTTTTTTGTTTGTTTTTTGGACATTCACATTAGCAGTTCAACAAACCACGGTAAACAAATATTTTGTCTCGACACACCAAATGACATGAAGCTGCCCACGACGTACACACTACTCCCAGACAGCTGTATAGCAGTGGCAGATGGCTCCAGAAAGTCAACATGACACCCCAATGAGTATCAGTCAGGTTTCCGAACGACGCACACGAATTCGTACAGAAGTGTCGAAGAAATGTCTACAATTTACCGCTTGTTAAAAATCTGGGACGGAGGGTCACCTGGCTTAGCACTCTAATAAATTTTAAACTTACGTCACATTCAACTGTAATTCGTAGATGGAAGAACTGGTATCGTGATGTCAGATTCTCGGGAGACCGAACGCCTGTCTCGTCGAGTAAGTGGTTGCACCGTGGATAAGTCGCGTTCCTACCCTGAAGAAGGAACGTTCACAATAAAACTCAACGTAAACGTAAACTGGGTGTAACACTTCAGGAAGACAAGTCATGTTCAAATACTTACACTGATACAACAATTTCGAATCTAACACAGTTTAGGTTATTGATCACAGTTCAATCGTTTTCGAGTCATGATAATTTTGGGTCTGACAAAGTTCAACGTGTAAGTCACAATACTTTTTATATTGAGATCAAAACAACTCTGCAAAATCCAGGCCTAAAATCTGTACATTAAATTCCTGCATCTGTTCATGACTATCTTACGTAAATTTGCATATAATGACTCCGGTATTGAATAGATGATAAATTCACTCATACTGCAACCTCTTCGCACGGGCTGCAAAGTCAGCCACGGCAACAAAACTAAAAATGTATCTAAAGTCAACTTACCATTAGCAGATTATTCACAGATTCCATTGTCGTATCTTCTAGTCCAAAGGAGATTTATGAAGCAGCATACGTCTTCTCTAATTAATAAATTATACATGAACAAATATATATCAAGATTTACAAATAAACAGTTTCTATTTCCGATATTCTGACGTCGTTTTTCTGTGATCGTCTTTCTTATTCCAAGACGACGATGAATTTCTGTACTTGGTGGTGGTGGTGTTGTTGTTGTTGTTCTTGCGGTTTGCATCCGGGAACAAAAATTTGTCAATCACTTGACGTACTGTTGAGTGCCTTCGTTCGAGAGGGTTTGGATACATTGTCGAGCGTTGCCACACACACACTGCTTCGTATTGGTGCAAACAGTTCTTCTGAGTTGCTTTTATAGTCTCCACGCATCTTCACAAACGTTGCCTCAAGACAATTTGATGATGGTGATAATAACAAGGGGCGGTGTGAGAAGAGTAACTGACGTCAGTGACCTTGTTCTCCAATACTTTTGTACAACGTCACGTGGCGCGAGAAACGGGAACTGTCAATTACATGTGAGTCAGTCAATGTAATCACCAGATTATTCAAATAGACCCGGGCCGACCCAAAACGTACTGGTTCGTGTATGTAATTTTCAATAAGACGCTGTTCGCATATCATATCCCAGCTTCCGACAGGAACTTTTGATTGTTGTTTTGTGGAGGGATACTTTTTCGTATCGGGAAAACCCTGCAGTTCTTGGCGATCAGTAAATCAATTCCGGCCGGGAGTCGAGAAGCAACAGTTGCGTTCAACTTCATCAGCGAACGTGCGGCATTTGAAGATAATATTATTAATTTTCCTCGTACGTATTTGTGGCTGCTGCAAGTGTCAAGAGAAATGCCGACACCACATCGACAAATAGTTTCTTCATTAAACTGTGGCATGCGCTGTACTTTTCGGGACAGAACTACCTCTCCCAAGAAACAAAGTTTGTGTATTTATTTAAGCACAACACCATGAAGACGTATGGGTGACTGAAGGTACAACTCCACGCGTTAATCTCGGCACTGGATGTACATGAGTAGTTATTTCCCGCTTCGGCCGCATTATCCGCGAGAAACAGTTCACGACGCCCATCATCCCGAACGCAAGGTAGTTGCGACGAGAAGAGAACAATATTGGAATTATGTACTCCTAGGAGTACATTAAATTTCCACAGGTGTTCTTTACGCCACATCACGGGTGATGAAAGTAACAATAGAATTCAAGGTAACGGCTGTTACAATGTCCTCCAAGGTTACTGTTAAACAACTCAAGGGAATCGAAGGTCATGTTTGTTATGACAACATGATGGAAAGGGGTCGAACGAAAATTACGGGCCCATGAGATGTTATTCGCTTAAGCTAATGCAAAAAGAACTCCCAAAATTCTCAGCAGGTATCGAACCCCGGTCGTCCAGCTCATATCTTAGTCCCTGCTGCACCAACTGAACTCCGGCTCGTTCTTCTTCAAACAGCTTCGTTCATCATCGTCGTTAGTACAGCTTTTTGACTACAGTGGTTCATTCTTAAGGACTCTATCGGCATTGTACGTATCAACTGAATAAACTGATTTGTATGTCGCTAAGATGTGCATGAGAAATTGATTGGGGGGGATATAACCCGTTTCAAGGACTCGAGCTGTCTGTCAGCCGTGAAGACCGAAGGAAACCTCTCATGATGATTACAAGTACCAGACAGCAGACACACGGGAACCCCAGATTGTTTTAGAGTTGAAAGGTTAAATTAGAAACTCAAATAAAGCAATAAATGTGTAATCACATTTAGTATGCTTCAAAACGTTATGAAAAAGGCTAAGTTCTTCCTGTGTTCAAGCAATCTCCACGCTATGAACACGCATTTGTGTAGAGAGGTAGAGCTCCACGCATTCTTAACCTCGGTACAATGGCATTTTCACCAAAGGCAAAAACCTTTTTCCGAAATCATCTTATATTTTTCACATCGTCTGACTTATTGAAATTAACAATTTCTATATAGGCAGGCCTATACGATTTCTTTGTTGGTTTCCTTCTCGAAAGTCTGTCTCCTGCATTTACAACAATAAAATATACCTCGTTCCTGGTTTATTTTATAATGTACAGCCCCTCGAATTTGTGTCGACGCAGGTCTGTCCTCATTTTACAAAAGAATAGTATTAACAACAATTGCGTATTCTTACAACACAACATGCATCAGGATTTTGTGTTCGGTGGAGCAGACGACAACTTCGTGTTTCGGTGTTAGCTGTCAAAATACGACAGTCCCTAAGGGCCACGCCATAAAAACGAGTAAAGGGAGTGGAGATAAATATTCATGCATTCTTGTCGGGGACAAAAGGCACTTCACGGTCCGGCCGTCTTTGTTTCTATAAGAATTTTATAAGAGTTTGGATCGACTCCAGATTCAATATGGACGTAAAGGTAAAGAATCGCCCACAGAAGAACAACAGTGTGGTAAAATCGATTACACATTGTTACTCTTGGAAACAACTGCAAAATACGTACAGGAAGCAATAAAACTTTGTTAATGTCGGTGACGTCAGTACCTAAAGAAAGTACAGATGAACGCAGAAGCAGAACAATGATGGGGCATCCCGACGCGGGAAATGGACATAGGTTAAGAGGGTCACCGGAAAATGTACATTTGTGTCTTGAATATCCTGGCTTCTTAAAAATTCTGGGAAAATTTAGGTGCGTCAAATGCAAAGTGCTGATCTGTGCGGAGATGGAGCTTCGAAAATTAAGCCACATTTTCATGTTGACTATCTGAAGCCTGAGGCTCGTCTGAATAGCATTAAAATCTCGGGTCGTACCGCAAAAGAAAAACGACGCCTCTCCATTACAGAGATCAATTGCTTAATGCTCTTCAGGGAAATAATAGATGTTTATCCCGAGACCCATACGGAACACACAAACACACGCTGTGAGAAAGTGCGGAATTACTGAATGCTAACAGTGGGTGTAATATATATGTCGGTACCACTGGACATCAAAGGGTTATGCAGAAAATTACATTCTTTCTCTAAAGTGAAATAAAACCAGTTTTGTATGAAGACATTCTGTGCGTTAAAATTACAAACACGGAAAAACCATTCTGGAATTAAAATAGGTATTAATATGAAGAAAATTATAATTAATTCGTGGTAAAAATAATAAAATAAACAATTTAACTGGGGGATTCGAGAACAGATTACAGTTTTCACCTGAATAATGTTTAAGGGTGATTAAGGTGATTAAGACAAGACAAATTGGCACAATTCATAATTTAAGACAACTATTTGTATCATAAAACCGACAAATTTGCCTTCCACCCTTACATCACAAAGATATTTTAGGATTCACCATATTAATTAAAATTCTATTAATTTTATCACTAAAAGAACCACACGTCTTTGGGCGAATTGCATTTTGGATTTGCCACGAAGCTCTAATGTTGATTTAACGTGTCAGATAGTGGAAATCTTAAACGAGGAAAAATTACACGAAGAAATAAATAGATCACTACAGGTTAAAACGACGAATCCATTATATTTAAGAAGAAATAGGCTACAGCTATAACAATTTATTAAATTATAATTTTTGGTTTCCTAAATAGGAAAATGTTAGGTGGAACAATGGAACTCCCGTGACTGAGCATTTACATCTCAAATAGTAAGTAACGAAATATTAAGTTGCTTTTACAGTACCATATCAGTTATTGAGACGCAGTTCACTGTACTTAAAGCGAAGAGGGACTTCACAGTTTATCACATGTAAAATATCGCAATGAAGGCAAGAGAGGTCACACACGGAACTCAGAGCACCGACGTGTGACAGCCAAGTGCGTAATTAAGGCAAAATTCCCGCGGGGATTCACAGCTACGGACACGAACATACGTAGGTTTTGTGGCCAAGTATCACAGCGATCATTATCCAATTCGACATGTGACGCACAAATTTGTCGTCTTATTCACTTGACATTCTACATTACTTCGTTTTACAAATTTCAAAATTCGTAATCCAATTTCGTCGGGATAGTAGTTAGGATTCATTACTGTCATTATTAAATATCTGAACCAATCCAGATTTTCGCAGGATTCATTAGCTTTCGTTATTAAGATGTTATCCTTTATTCTGGTCATATATTAACGCATAATTTCATTGTAAAGGCGAACTCCGTAGCACTGTGCTCCGGTATCGATACTACGAGAAGTAGATTTAGAAGCGATTACCCACAGACCTGTTCTGTTAATTTACTTACAATTCTACTATGGAAAAGAATGATCATAGCAAATGGCATCAACCGGGTTTCGAACCAAAATTTCCACCACTAAGCAACGATATATGTCTTGGTATATTGCTGAACTGGAAGATCTATGAACTTTGACACTGCCTTTTTGCTTAATATCGTTGCGTCATATACTGAATTTATCTATCATCATGTATAATTAAGCGATGCTTATGCTAAGTATTAAGGAAGAAGAAGAAGAAGATACTATAGCAGAATTTTCTTTAGAAAAGACGGCGACAAATCGCAGTCGAAAGAATAAAACCCCCAGACGAGTTTTAAACTGGTGATACCCTGAGCACGGAAAAAAATTTGAGCATTAACGCGTTCAAAAAATTTTCCTGCCTAATCTTGCCTAACGCACACACACATATATATATATATATATATATATATATATATATATGCTGAGATAAAAATTATCGGTATGAAACAGATTGCCTGAATTTTTACCAGAAAGTTCGCAAGATTACCACACATTTTTGAACGAACTCAAAGCGTACTGTTTACTAGAGAATTAGTTAAATATCCGAGAACTACAGCTAATATTGACGTGAGAAACGCTACCGAGGTTGAGGGGAAGGACATGATGATACTGGCGATGAGTTCCGATAGTTTACAGCGGAGAATAGAATGAAGTACGTGATAAATCAATCTGGACAGAGAACATAAACAATGATGACGTAAATGTAATTACATTTCCAAACGATTCATGCTGAGCTTATTTACAGACTTAGTTAACAAAGCGCTTGATTTGAGATTTTGTAAAAAAAAATCCAGTTGATGTTATTTCTTTTCCAAAAGTCTTACCTAACATGGAATCTTAAACCAGTAACTATCTTTACATTTCAGATAATTATAAAATATCAGTTGTGCTTGCTTCTGCAAGACTCGTCTACAGAGTGTCCCATTAAAAATGAAGCCCAAACAACAGCAGTATCTCTATGACACTGCGTATCACTCTTCCGAGTTTCGTGCTTGGCGTGTGGGATTTCAGCACTTTCCAGTCGGCTGTTTCGACTGTTCATATAATAACTCAAGAGGAACCAGAAAAAAGTCCAAGATATGAACCCCATTCTAACGACGAAACCAATGGTAATATTTAAATCATACAGCCATATTCCGATGTTGCAGCTGATACATTGCTTGAAACTGGCCATAACTTCAGCTGTCTTGTCACTCGATGCTCATTTGTCACAGTTAATCCACTTTACTGAGTCAGTATTCTCAAAAATTTCTGTGGCAATAGCGCTAATGTTCTTTTAACGTTGCAGAGCGTCTCACCTGCCAAATTTTCCCGACGCCAGACACGTTCCCTGTCGCAAATACTTCCTCTGTTCCGAAATCATGTTACTATTTGGTATTGCTGTCTTAATTGGTACTTACTTTTCACGTTACGCATCGCTAAATTATTTAGGAACAGCATTAAACGATTTCGATACGAAATAATCTGCAAGTATGAACGCCGGTTCTACTCATGAATAATTCATGTTCGCACCTGCACAGCTTTTGCGAAACTGGCGTAAGCAGCGGCCTAGCAATTAGGGTAACCTTGAATCGAGTGTTACGGTTAAGTTTTAGAGAGAGTATTAAAAGGGGTGGACCTGCTTAAGGTTTTATATCTGCACCGGAGTGTGCGACTGTTGATGGGCTGCACCTTAAATGGCACACTCTATAGAAATAATTTTGTTTTGCTAAATTTTTAAAGAGATACACATTTGCATCAGTAGATTTAAAGAACACAGTTCAGCTGCATCTAGTTTTCTTATTTAAGATGCATATAATAACAGAACAGATATTAATTCCCATTCTCTTTCAATTCCAATTACGAAATTCTGAAAAAACTAACACAGAACACTACAAATTTCAAATAATGTAATTTTTTCTAAGACCTTTCAATGTACCCCGAATCAAAACAGATTGTACCGCAGACATGAGACAGCGAAGAGAACGCGATTCATCGCTAAGTTTGTTTGAAGACTACGATCAATATTGATGTCCTTTGTATCTCGGAAGATGAAGCAACTGGTGTAATGGAAATTTTGTGACGAGTAATCGCAAAATATTTACCCAGAAATGTTTACCTGGAGTTCCGGGGTATTATTTTCTTGGAACACGAGGAAAATTTGATGTTACATATTAATTTAACTAAACATATTTCAATTGTTTTTCGAAAGGTCTACTTCTTCGAAGAACATTCTGCACAAGGTAAGGCACATTACATTGCTGGAGATGATACACGCTTATGCTAACTGTTTTCTTCAGCTGCTGCAATTGCATAACGAGGAGTTTCTACTTTACACTGACAAGGGAACCTGGCAGATTGTTACCCTCCGATTTAGCTCCAGTTCTACGGTGTGGTAATGGACCCTCCTCTGACATTTAAGCCCAAATATTGGGTGTTGACACTCCACTACTTAATTTTTTGCAACACGTAATTTTATTTTTCACGTCCTTAACTATTCACACTTAAAGTTAAACTTAGTTTTATGATCCCTCACGCGACTGGATGTGTTCTTAAGTACCAACGATCGACAACAAAACCTGGTTGGGAGTCAGATTATTTATTCCAGCTGTCAGCCCACACAGCCAGCCAGTGATTCAGCAGTTGACCGAGAGCCAGCGCTCTGATGAGGATTTCCTCCAGTCAACAGGTTAAGTGAGACATAACGCACTCCGACTTAAATTGAGAAAATTATATAATAAGGACCAAAATGAATAATAATCCGATCTCAGTGGCGGTGCGGTCTAGGGCGTGGGCCTTGACCCTGTGATACTGGGCTCGAATCCCGCATGAACTTGTGTCACCGTCTTTGTGTGTTTTGCAGTCCCGTGCAGGTAGAGGCCTTGCGACTGTCTGACGCCTCGTCCAAGAAGTCGAACTACCTGCAGAAAAATAGTTCCGAAACTTCGTAAAATAGGAGGCCAAGGTTCTCCGAGAAATGCAGAGCGGCAAGAAGAAGATAAGGGAGATCATACTCTTCATTCAGCGCTATTAAGTTGTGATGCAACTCAGATGGGAGAAACAGAGCAATAATGGCGTCTGAGCGTTAACTGGGCCGAAATTTGACCCTGGAGCCTCCAAATTTTGAAGCAGGAGCGCTAAAATCTCGACCACGGTGTTCGGTGTACAGCCGGTTTAATCACCAGGCAAACTAGGGGGTAGCTTTGGGGGACAGGTCTGGGGAAGTGGGCGTAACGAATAAAGAAAGGAGAGATTTCGAGAAAAAAGTCTACAAATAGAAATAGAAAAACAGAAGGAAAGAATAAATGTGTTGGTGTTCGTGGCTTTGTAATATGCCGCCAGCATTGCTTAATATCTTACACGAGCTGTTGATGCGTGTGCAGTGACCAGTAGGTAAATTTCCTGACAGAATGTATCGTAAATAGGCACCTTTAGTCTTCATCGTCAGTTGTAAGACAGACCTTGTGGTAATAGGTTCTGTTTCGCTTTTGATAGTTTGTTTTTCTTTTGTTTTCTTTTTCTTGTTGTCTTTAGAGGTCACGTCTGTAAGTACAAATTGGTTAAGTTACTTCAATAATTACTGCCAGAAAGGAATTTTTCTGTTACAAAGAACTGGAAAGGGACGTTATTTTAAAACGACATATTTTGTAGTCAAACAGTGGATTCCCGTTTATCTAGATGTCTACTATCGTTTAAATGAAAATTAAAAATTAATTTATAAAATCTGGAGTTAAAGTTAGAACGTTTAAAATAAAGGTATAAATACACCAATTACATGTTATTTAGTGTATTAATATAAATATATTGTTGCTAAAACCTGAAGTTTACGACAGCAGAATGTTATTACTATTCTCTGGAATCCTATTTTAAAAAGTAGTTGGTATAAAGCGTATTTAATTGTATACAAAATCGTTTATGTTATTAGTAAATCTAATAAGTAGCGAACGTCTGTCTGTAAATAAACTTGCGTAATTGTCACATTTGCAACTTTTCTTTAAGTTTTGAGGATTATCCGGGGTTTCGATTATCCGGTAAAACACATATATTTTCCAACCATCCCGGATAATCTGGAGTATACTGCATTATGCTTTGAGATACATCTGCATTGCAAAAATTCAAGGGAAAAGTCTATCACATATCCCTGAGGCTTGAGCAGTGTAAAATAAATTCTGATTAATTCTGGGGCATAGAATGGCAAACGGAAGGCTCAAAAGGAAGGAGAATAAACGTAGCAAGGAGGATCCTTTCTGAAGTGTAAATATGTTCATTTAGTGTCTTATTATTATCCTTCATCATGCGAACTAAATGTGATATTATAAATGCATAATTTATTTTTAATACTAACACAGGCTATTAATTTTCGGAAGGTAATGGTTAGGGGGATAAAGGTTCATCTCCAGTCCAAATGTCCTTGCGCCTGCCCTGGTTTGTCGAGATGTCCCCAGGGAGTGTTGAGATGTGGGTTGATTCGACATACCACTTGTCCAGAGTACATATTACGTATTATGGCTGGAAAGTTTCAACATTCCCAGATAAACAATTGCATTTTAGAAGGAAGCAACTGCATGAAATGCATTGCCAATAAGCCGAAGACGTCTCAGTGACGTTGGGAAGCAGGTTTCACCTGATTGGAAAGATGTGGCAAAAACACATTTTATGATCAGTGTCCATTGATTAAGCAAAACACGTGAATTCACCCGATACCTTGGCTTGCCCATTCATGGAATCATCCAGACCTTGGGTCTAACTGGAAATGCACAGAGAAATCTGAAGCCGGTGTTCGAGCTCCCGCGACATAACTGACAACACGGCCCGCGAACCCAATAAGACCAGTTAGTAGAGACAGAAGAGGAACAAACCATGTGCTGTGTATGCAAGGAACAGAAGCTGAAGTTTCTTATGCAAACGAAACGATATAATTACTGGGATAAGAAGCAACATAAGTTTATTTCCATTGTCTTCCTGCCTGTCAATGTAACCTGAGCTAAAAATACAGTTGCCAGGACATATTTCGGACACAATTCGTGTTATCTGGATCAGCAAACGTACGTTATTTGTGGCGTTTCGGTTCAACGCCCAGATACTTGTCTGTTCAAATAGTTGATGAAGTTTATAAACCTGTTACAAAGGAGTTTAATACTATGAGCACTCATTAACATTTGCATCTAAATTAAACTTTAATGGAAATTATGCGACAGCCACTCCTACTTTTATATAAGTGAATTTAATAGTATTTTAATAAAAATTCAATTATATCTAAAAAATGTTTTATGTTATGAGCATGTATAGAACGTGTTGTTTCCGAAAGACGATCGCAAACTTCCAAATTTCAATTCTAACGAAAGCAGATACAATAACTGCACACGCCATTGCTACAGAAATACAAACATAATCCCACAATGTTTCTCGAACATCTTGTAAAGCGACTATTTAAAGTTGGATCCACCAATGTTGATAAAAAAAAGTTTTGATATTGTTAATCACACTGAAGTAGGTGACGCTTGGAGTTCTCACAGCGACGAGTTCATTCTCATGTTCCACCCTGTGTATGGAGGCACTAGGCTCCACTAAAACGCCAGCCAGTGTCTTCCAAGACAACCACATTCTTGACTGAAGCAGTCGGGATTTGGTCCGACGGTGTTTAAACACAAGAAAGTAATTTGCCAGTCGGTTACGATAGACATTTGACGGTGGCATCACGTTAAAAAAAATGCGGGTTTGAATAGGAAAACGTCATCGCGTCTTTGCATACTTCTAATTAAACACCCCCTCTGCTTCCATTATACCGCATCCATGCTTTCCACGTGTTCACAGAACTTCGTTTTGACGTTGGTGACTGTGTATAGCCTTCTGAGTCCCTTTCCCACACTCGAGTCGTACAAGGTGCAAGGCGATGCGATGCCGTCACAATGACGCACTCACTGGCCTCAGGTCAATGCCAGTGCTGGGGACTCACTCACAGCCATCATTTCGATTAACACGGGCTGGCATAAGCGAATTTCGTATTGGTACGGAAATTAATTCACTGATATATTACCCAGTGGCACTTTTATTTCACAAATTTAATACCGTATTTGTTTCATGTCTGGTGTTACACATTATTTGCCATTTTAAAACGTCGATTCGATGATAGTGGCAACCACGGAGTAATGGGTGTGCCTTGGTCGCTGGGACATTGGGTTCCTAAGAAGAAATTCCGACCAGGGACAGGTCAAAAGCCCAACCCGTAAAAAAGCTGAAGAATAAAAAAAGGTAAGGTCGATTCGTTGTGACTGCAGATCAACATCAAAATCATTTCGAATAATTTAAATTCAATTAAATTTACAAAACACAACTGGCCCATCTCTTAGTCAGAACCTCAGGGCAAAAGTTTGTAGGGGGGGGGGTTTACATTCACTCAAACCACGGTACTTGGGAGAGTTCTGTTTTATTCTATTTGGTGAGAACAAAGTTTTAATATAATGTTTGTATTTTCTGTGTACACTTTTGTTAGCTGTCTACTTTATGTTCTCAAATATGTTTTCTCGTCCCTGTCTCTTTACTGAGAACAACTAAGCTCGCGCACCATAAATATTTCTATCGATGTTGGTATTTTCGGTTTTAACGCCATTGTGGACTTGCGGGTTAATCCCGCAATCACATTTTCCGAGAACATTCGCCTTGAGCCCTGCACGGAAGCAGCATGTTTCTCCGGGAACTTTAACGTCTATGCACCTACACGTTCAGACGGCTCCACAGCCCTGAAGACCAATGTCGACGTCTTCACCGCCGTGAGAACCTGAAATCTTATATAAACATTTCTGTTTGCCGATCACAAAGATCGCCAAACTAATGTCGCTAAACAACTCAACATTATCTGCATTCTCGCGGAATTTGTTTTTTTTTTATACAACGCCACCTTGCAGCATATTTTATTTAAATAAATACACAGTGGATCAGAGAATTACGTAGTGATGTTTCAAATCGAAATGCTGACCAGACTGCGCGGCGTCAAGTTAAAAACGACCCGAGGTCCCAGCCAAATTTAGGTTTTTGGTCGGCTCGTCGCCGGTGTAGACCCTGCGGTTAATTGTGAACCGTATAGTACAATCCCCTAGGTCCCCACACCATACCTTTTGGAATGTGCCCGCGAACGAGTGACAAAAACACCTGGAGCTATTACATACACCTGTGTTAAAATTTCACACAAATAATCCGGCAAGTAAACATGAGTATATACCGTCTGACCAAGGATTGCCGGATTCGACTGAGGGGGTTCATGATGTCTCTATAGCGCGACGGCTCTAGACGGAAGCAGAGAAGGCAAGGGAGAAACTGCGTACAGCTTTATAGCTTACATCACCAGTCAATAAGGCAGAGATTTGGAAGTTCGCCACCAGCACTCCTTAGTCACACGGGGTATACGCTACGGTTGTTTTCACATGAGGAACTATGTTCAAGGGAGGAAAAGTTTACATTTCAGAACGCGTAAATCCGAATGTTTGTGGGAGGATTTGTACGAATGAAAAAAATATTCCACAATTTAAAAATCGGCCTGATGGAAAAGTCGTACCGGACAGACCTGATGTTTGTTATGAATAGTAATTAGTTCTCACTTTAACAACAACGTTTTAGGCTAACTACTGACAGGTAAGACACATATTCTGAACAATAACAATGAGGTAATTGTGTGTAAATATTTCATAGGAGAAGCATTTTTAGAATTTTTGCAAAATTTTGCTTCACGACTCTTTTATATAGATATCATTACACAGATTATTTTATTAAACTTGCAGTTAGTCCATTAATAAGATAAATATCTCTTTCTGAAATGAGTAACTTTTGAACTATCTATTTGTACTCTTCATCAAACAGGAAATTATTACAGCGAAGAAAGTTGATAAATGTGCGGGAATGAGGCATACGTACAACAAAAGAGAAATGCTTACAAAGTTTTAGTTGGGAAGTTTGAAGATATGAGACCATTCGAAGAAAATAGGGCTAGATGGGAGGATAATATTAAAAGTGATCTAAGGAAAGAACGTTCACGTAATTGGGATACACACCGGCGTGGGGAGGCAGGCTTTTGTGGGAACGGTGATGAAACCTCTGGTTCCACGAAACCACGAAAACCGTGCAAAACGGAATAAAGGTGACGACACGCACAAGTTTTATTTAGACATACTAATGCTGTATTTCAAGACGTGGAAATATTCTAACGAATATTCCAGAATCTGACAGCTGTAAAGGAATATGACTGCACAAGACACACAGTTCATAAAACTGCTGGAAGTGGAACTACACTTGTTTACACAAACATGTTTGTACACACGTCTTGTGTCTTGTTAAAGTTTCCGAGTGGGAATATTCATTTTCATCAAGGAAAGCTAGGTCATAGGATGAACACTTTCTAATTTCGAAATGTCTAAGTGTTAATACAGACTAACCCTGCACACATTTCATATTTATTTCGACCTGTTAACAGAACAAGTAGGCGGTCCTTACTCAGTTCAGTATGTTTCACGAAGACGTTTGTCTTCTGGGCTGTTGCCCCGCGTAGTCTGGTGGATGTTCACCGACATTCCAGAGGTGCCAGCTGCCTCCATCTTCAGAGCGAACATCGCTCAGATGATGGAGACAGCAGGCTCTTCTCAAACGTCTGGAAACTTCTGCCGGACTACACAGCGCAACAACCCAAAAGACAGTTCTCTTCATATTCGCCTCCGTGAGAACCTGAAACCTCGCCCAATATCGTTCACATTTGTCCGAGGTCAGTTTTCGTTGTACCCTTTGGAACTTCATACCAGCTTCTAGCTCGTAGCAAAAATGACGCACTCGTACAAGGAAGCGTAAAAGACACTGGCTACTAGGAAAGGTACTCGATTTTTCGCCTCTCTTCAAATTTCAAAAACAACATTGTCCAAGAACTCGCCTTTGCTTAGAATGTGTAATGCGTATAACAAGTTGCAGTGAAATTTCCAGAACTTTATTTCAACTGAAATGTTTGTTTGTGTCGTAAAACGTGTATGTGTGGGAATATTTACCTTTTGTAATTTTTGCTTTTACGTCATTTTATACGTATTATACCTAGAAGTACGTAACTCATCTTTGTTTTTCCATATCCGTACGCTGTACAAAGGCTCCTGTATCTGGACGGCTTCTGTCCCTTCGAGGCAAATAAACATTAGAAGGTGGATTACACAGACTTTTCATCGGCTGTACAGCCCGCAGTCGGCAGTGCGCTGCTGATAACAGATTGTCACGACCTTTATTAGCCACTTGGTAGGACTCCTTGGATGTGTAATCAGCCAGACGCAGGGCCTCCTCCATCGACACACGAGAGCAGAACACATAAACACTCTGGCTTGACTGGGATTCGAACCAAAGAACGCAACGTTAGAACATTTGGGGACCAAGACCTAGAACATGCCGTGCTGCCAATGATCGTCAGCTGGACCAACTACAATACCTATTTGAGAAACTGAAGAATAAGTGACTATTAACTTTAAACAGTTCCACTGCACAGACAGTTTCATTGCACACAATTAATAAAGATGAAGTATACGAAAGAAGGATGCGCCGTAGAATCGTGTTGTTACAAAAGACGTTGATTTGTGTGAGAGCAATTGCTTTCCAAATACCAGCTGTAATTTATTTCTGGGTGTTTCCGACGAACGTGTATGATACCTGTTTTAAATTTCTTAGACTTTTTCTGTCACCTTTTTCCAACTCACCGTTCCTGAAACTGGTTCTAATCACGGTCACAAAACCAATTTCTAAAATGTTACGTTTTAAGGAAACCCAAGATGATGGATAAAATTCAGTAAATTGAAACTTATTTTGTTGTGATGTTTGATTTTACCTTTGTCTATTATATATTAAAGAGATGAATTATTAAATGATTTAGTTCAATTTCTCATGGTCACGGTCACGTTGACAGACAGACAGAAAAAACCAGAACATCATCGGCATACATAGAACTGGACAGAGCATGTAGCACAGAACGCTGATTGCATTGTACTGATCTCGTATAACCAGGACGAACTACGCACAACTACAAAAAGCGTGAAGACGGTATATGGGGGGAAGAACACTTGGAAGGCCTCCTACAGATATAGTAACAGAAAGCATCACGGCAAGCGCCACTTGTCACGTGCGAGTTGGTGCTGATTTCCGTTCCTCTCATGTGTGAGTAGGTGCTGACCTCCGCTCCTCTACATCTACCGAACGACTAAGAAATTAATCAAGGAATTCGCTGTTATTGTGCAGCAGACACCTTACGTCATTGGCTTGAATCGCGTGTCTGCTGCACAATACGTCACATGATGTGTGAATTCAGCAAGGCCTGGGCCGGGTTCACATGATAGCAAACAAGGGCTTTCTCCTGGCATATATTTTTCGTGAACCCAAAGTTATTCATGTTACGCCAGTGAGTCGATCTCATCATTCTTGATCTCACACGTTTAACAATAACACGTTTAAAATTTATTTATACACTTCTGAGTTCCCACCCGAGAAAAGGATAACAGTACATTAGTGACATTCATCAGATGGCTTGTAGAACCTAACTAGCTCTCCAACTGTATAATTTATCCATTGTATTTATGAAGCACGAGATATCTGCTGAATTTCTTAGGTGTCTTCATAATATAAACATGAAGTGCATATAATATTGTTCAGTATTCCTCTTGAATAATTACGCCTGTCGTTTAGACAACCCACACTGCATCAGAGGCAAGTGGGTTACTGTATTCTTGTTTTTGTTGTATTGACAGTAGAACCTCTCCCACCAAGACTTGCAGGAACCACTTACAGAGTGACCGTGAGAATTGTTCTAGCCACTTTTATTGAACGTCTGTCTCCTACAGAATTTTCAGTGTCATTACAGCAGCACACACATCTCAGATCTGGGTTAAGTACTAAAAACTGCAGCAGCAAGAAACTCGGGGTTCCTAAATTATTGGACTTTGTCCAAACTGGATCTTTTTCCGTCCTCAGGTGAAAAGGGAAGGAGCACCTACTCAGTTAGAGACCTGGACCTGGTCCAGTGACTGAGGTTAGCTCTTTGTAAAGGACCCAACCGAGTACGTGCCCCTTCCTTCTTCCCTGCGGACGGGAACAGTTCCAGCTTCCGAAACTATGTGTTATTTTGAATACCAGACGGTCGACAAGGTCCAAGAATTTAGTATTTAAGAGGTGGTGTCTAACAGTTTTCGTTTCACGGATTATTTAGCAACCTTGCATCACTTACAGCGTATATTTTGCTTCGAGCAATATGACAGAATCATCATTTAAGTTTAAATGAAAAGGGCTGTGAACGGAGAGACCATTTGTGTGTCGACTGAAGAGAAACACACAATCATCGTATTGAAACATTAATTTCTTTAACAATTTAATTTTCTTTTAATTTGCAGAAGTATAATTCCAGAGCCATGAGCACTTTCCAGTTAACGCTTCTACATTATTCCATATTGATCCAGTTAAGTTAATAAAAGTGTGTTTGATTCTGCGTGGCTTTATAAAACTAGGGATGACGAAGGGCGGAAAAAGATTAAAAAATTATGCCACACGCGGTTTCACAAATTATTGCAGAGTGAGAAGCAAGTTTTTGGGAGCATAAATTACATTTCCATATCCCAGCATTTCATTATGAGCAGGATTACGACTCCGAACCTCCAACCACCAGCCCTCAGAGAGCAGTTGTAAATATGAAAGTTGTATTACCGGCTGAGTCCATTCCTCCAGACAACTGAAGTTTCTATTTTCCTCTTCAACATCTCTGACGTTACCTGAATGACTTGAGGAATGCAGGTTAGAATGAGACGACAACAAAGTTCTGCAAGATAAGACGCGCCTTTTTATTGGCTGTGCATTACAAGAACTCTTCTGTAATTGGACAAGACGTTTCCGTGTAACCAATGCTGGTTGGATCAAGACTTTCTCCTTACTCACAAACCAGAAATGAGGTAGGAAGGCCACCAGAAGGTTTTCTATGGAGGAACATATGGCTTGTGCAGACTGAGATACTGTGAAGTGAAGTTCGATCGATATTAGGAAATGTGATTACTGTGGCAAGTGACATGGGTTGAGTAGTAGTATGATGGTGACTTCAACGCAGGATTAGAACGGAACATCGAGTGAAGACGCTGTTAAAATGGGGCCAAACTGCGAGTTCCTGTGGATTATACCGCTTCTACAGCTGTGTGGCGTAGGTAAGCAAAGTAGAGCACTGCCATATACTCAAATATTACACTCTGTTTAGAAATTCGAATACTGATTCACACATACTATAAGGTTTCTTCTGATTAAGCACTGTAGTATGAAAGGGTGCGTGGGGGCGTAGAGATAGATGCATTCTCAACCTGGCTGACTTAAACGCGAAGAAATACATAAACTGTCAACATGGCGGTCCAGTATTTGATATGTACTTTTGTTAACTCTGTAGCGTGGAATGTGAAATATTGTGTGCACATAGTTTAATTAGGTGTTCAGCTTAAAAAATCTGACTGTAGAGTCCTTGTGAGAAACTAATAGTCTCTTAGCTGGTCAATAAATTCCCAACCTATCATAAGATCCTATGGTCCATTACAATGTTTACAAAAGCTCGCTACATTTCCCTGTCCTGAGACAAAATACAATTCACACCCTTCCACTCTTTTTCCATGAGATTCATTTTAATATTATCCTGCCGTCTACACATAGATCCTCCGAGTGGTCTTCTTCTTTCAAGCGTCCCAACAAAAGTTTTGAACGCATTTCTCAACTCCATCCGTGCTACAAGACCGCCCATCACATCCATCTCGACTGGATCATCCTAACGATATCTGGCGAAAAGTACAAATTATGAAACTCAACTTCAATGTATCAGGATTCAGGGAATGGCAATTTTAGTGTTCATGGGACAACTATTCCTAAGATGCTACTTGGATTCACTGATTCTCTGCTTTCGTCGTGCTCCCGAATAATACCACTCGTCCGTCACGCATGGTTAAATAGCAATTTTTTTGCATCTGTATTGCGGCCATCTGAACAGGATTCAGGACAGTTTCTCAACTTTTTCAGTTCACATTCTGATTTCACTTTACACTCAGTTATCATCAAAACGGACACAAGTATGTAATGAAGATATTCTTAACTTATTCTTGTCATCTTGCATTATCATGATAATTAAAAAATGTGAATCAAGCGGGTAAGGCATGCAGCAGGCTTGTGAGAAATAAGAAATACATACGAAATTATCGTAGGAAAACCTTGTCGGAAGAGGTCACTTGGTAGACCTAAGAGTTGGCAGGAGGATAATATTAATACAGATCTTTTGAAATTGATCTGTGAAGATGTGGACAAGACTGAACTGGCACATGAGGGTTGAGCGTTATGGAAGAATCAACATGAAGATTGGACTTGTTTCGGAGTTGATGTAAAATGTGGACTGACAAAACTTAAGACTTGGTGATTTCGCAACTATCTGTCGGCTCACCTAATATTCGACGTGACCATCCGTTAGTCAATAAGCATATAATGTTTCAACTAGAGACTAAGGAATTTACACGTTCGAAACGCGAATTCTCTAATGAAATACAAACAATTTTGGTTATATACTGTGCTTTTGGAACATACAAGTTGTTCTGCTTATAAAAGTTTTCAGAGCAACCTCATGATCACATTTCAGCTAAAGTTGTTGAAAAGGCATTTCAAATTAAAATATGAGAACAATTTTATGTAACAGTGCTTTAAGAGGGCAGAGAATAAATTGTAATAATTTAGTTTTGAAGCGTAAAGAGTAGATTTCCAAGGTCACAGAATTCCTCACTGGAGCCAATACAGTCATTTCACAGAGTCGTCTTTTGGTCTTACCGCCTCCCAATGTTTCTAAAACTCACTTAGTGTTGGTCCGCGTGTGTACATATTGGTCTCTCAAATTGCTTTCTTTTTGCTACTGTGAAATCTGAACATTGTTGATTTAACTGTCTTAATTACGTACGGAGTATAGACGAATAGGTTCGTTGACTTCCTCCATTCTCCATTAGAGTATTCACTTTTCTCCCACCTCTTAAATGACGAACTAGGAAGGGAAACTGTAAGTAGAATTTGTTACATGGTGTGAAATAGACATGTCGAAATTCTAAGGTTTGAGGGAATGGTCACACGGCTAAAACACTGGACAATCTGTTGCAATCTGGCAGTTCCAGTCAGATTACACGAGCCGTTGCAAAATTGAAGCCTTCCTGTACTTGCAAGGTTAAACACGAGTCTCTAATTTTGTTCAAGAAACCAGCCTTCAAACTGAGAAAACACACAGAAGAGTTACCCCCAAAAGAACCTCCAATCAATCCGGAGATTCAACACCGCAATTTCAAGTCCGCCATTGGCCTCTGTCCCGAGCAGCTAATTCCATTCACCTCCCATCCTCATAACACACATCCTTAACAATTACTGCTTCCTTGCCGTCCAATAATTTTTACCATCGTGATCTCAAAAGTTTTTTCCCCCAAGAAGTTAAAACTAACTCCATGGGGCAGAATACTTCTTGAGAATTTGACAGTTGCTCAGCCGGCTGAATATTCCCTGCCCCTTTTCGCAACCCGAAAGGCTATTACTATGTTCACAAGCGCTTGCTACTCAGATTCATCCTCAACTTTCAAAGAGGTTCCTGCATCAAATTTATATAATAATGTCATGCCTTCTCCACCGGAGTTATATGTTCAACTCATACCAACCTCTTACATTTCACTATCCTAACACTAAATTACTTGTATAAATCAAGAATTTAATCGATACTTTTATATTATTTCAAACTGCCTGTTTACTCCTTCCTCTCACACGTGTAAATATTTTCCTGGGCATTTTGTTTTCAAACACTCGAAATATATATTTTACCCAGGAATAAAGATCACATACATACAAATCTTTCTTTATCATTTTAAAACGAAAAGATACAATTATAATTTTACATTAACTTATATCGTGCTCAGTATTTAAAAATAAAATGGCGTTTACACACAGAATATCTTCCTGAATTGCGACAAATCCCGTTACCGTCTGGCTCTTATTCCCAGAACTCAATTACAAAAGCAAGCAAAACTGACTTCTACTCTCCTGGAATTATCGCGGCAGCGCGACTCCAATGTGGGTCAACTTCGTGACTCACAGTGATCTATGCAACTCGAAGTCTCGAAAGGATCGATTCCTTCTTCCGTAGATTGATTTCTTCGAAACTTTACAGAGTCCAGTAGGCTGCTTGAGAAATCAAACCCGTTTAGAGTCGTTTGATTTATTTAATGACGCTGCGACGTCTTAGGTTGTGTGTGTATATATATATACTGTGAACAGTGGACTGAAATGACGCGGCAGAAAATTGTGTCAGGATATGGTGGAGAGGCAAGAGAAGCTCATGGAATCTGTCAGGATGGCTAGTCACACAGAAAGTTTTCAACTGGACTTGCATAGCTGTCTGTCATGCTCTATTAACTTTCGAAACCGCAGAAACATTCTGTGAAACAAGATCTGAAGGTTGAACATTATCACCATGGCAATCAGAAATAGAGTTTAACAAGAGGACGATCAGTTGCTGCGTTTCGTTACTTTTCCCGCAATACCGTTCCTTTCACGACGAGACGAAAGGCAAGATATTGACCAGTTACGTAATCTCTACCACGGGATGAGAGATAAATTAAAGCTCAAGAGGAAAAGGAATCAGAATGTCTGATGAAGCCTGTAGGAAAATTAAGTGCGAAGTTCGGGGTGAAATTGTTGTCAATTTTAAAACAAGATTTTTGTAGGGAAGTTTTGTGGAAATACGCCACTTTCTAAAATTCTTTTGTACTTGTTGCATCCAAGGACGACATCCTAAATTTGTAGACAGCGCGGAGTTACAACTCCTGCCTTGTTTTGTCTACTTAGAGAGGAATGTTTAGCCTAACGGAATGGAGATGTGCTGTCAAGTGGAGGTAAAGCTCAACGCGCCATTAACATCGCTGGTGGTCAGTGCTCAGTTTTATGATCCAGACACTTCCGACATCCATTGTACAGGAGACTCAGTGGACTCAAATCATTCAACTTCTTCGTCTGCAGATCTTGTGGATAATTGTTTTTATAGTAAATCGAATTAAAGTAGCACTTTGGCTATTCCTTATCCATGCAATAAAATCGAACCTAGAATTTCAAAGCTCTCTTTCTCTGTGCTAAAACTGCACGTTGACAAATCGTCTCACAGACACTATTCTTCAGAATTTAAGAGCTATCTTCTAGCTATGTTAGTTTTCCAGCCACCAGTGGAGCTCGTTGCCCGGCCAACACTTTGAGAAAACTTCTTGTGTCGAACTTTCGTGGTCCACTGGTACTAATATACCGGAGAACAGCAGAATAGATCAGATAAAACGTATAGTCAGCCAGGCGCTCACAGCAAGCCAAAGCTTCATCTACATCAGGGGTTCTCACCACTGATTCTAATTTAACACATTTTATGTACCACTAACCAAATGCGTTCAGGGAAAACTTATTTATGTTAATATTATCTTTTCATGTTCTTACTTAGTATGCGTACCACCAGTGGTACGCGTACCATAAGTTGATAAACGCTGATCTAGATGGCTAACAACGACCTGCTAAGTAAAGACAATACTTTCTAATATTCGTCTTTGGAAATGTTAGTCGCGCTAACACTGTTAACATGAACACTTAGCCCCTAAAGGACTCTACTTCATGGATCCAGCTATAGCAGCAGTCAGGACAATCTGCACCAGTAAACAAGAAGCGAATTACGGGAGCATGTGACGTCATCAGTCAGTCAGTCAGTCAGTTAATCAGTCAGTCAGTCAGTGACTGTCCTTCCATGCGCAAACTGAAATAATTTTCACTTATACTCGGTTTTGAGCTCCACTGGTTATTACCATTAACTATAACCCGATGAAGTTATCAGAAATCCTACTTCCTTTCCAAGGTTGATAGGAGATAGGTGACTGGGCAAATTTCTGACAACTAACAGCCACTGTTAAGTACCTGAGTCTACACCAAAAGAAACTGCATGCCGAACGCTATAATTTATTCTGTAACATTTAATTTAAAAGAAAGTTGTCACCTTAAGTTCTCGGAATTTCGGTTCTTGATTTCATCTCATAAAAAAGTAACTAAAATGAAACAAGCGTTTTCCATGTTTAATGTGTCAAGAGTGAATGCGTGACTGCCGAGGTCACACTGCGAACGAGCAAGCAGC